CGTTTCCCATTATTAAGAGTCAGAATGATGAAGAAAGACTTCATACAACACGGGGGCGGTTGGGTAGCCTAGTGGTTAAAGCGTTGACATGTCACGCCGAAGACCAGGGTTCGACATCCCCAGGCAAAGTGAGTTTAGTGACTGAAGTGCACCTGTTGACATGTTTGCTCTTTTTGCGAACACCTGGTGTTATAACTGATTTTCAGCGATCTATTCCTATAACTTACTCTGCTGTTTCACATTTTATGCAGGAAGTATTCTGTTTCGATAGAAAACCAGGACTGACTATTCTCTGGCATTTACGTTTCCCATTATGAAGAGTCAGAATGATGAAGAAAGACTTCATACAACACGGAATGGCATACCATATGTTACTTTGTTCCTGGGGCGGTGGGGTAGCCTAGTGGTTAAAGCGTTCGCCCGTCACGCCGAAGACCCGGGTTCAATTCCCAGCTTGAGTACAATATGTGAAGCCCATTTCTGTTGTCCCCCGTCGTGATATTGCTGGAATATTGCTAAAAGAGGCGTAAAACTAAACTCACTCACTACTTTGTTAAACATTTAATATAATAAATAAGGTAAGATTGATTCTGCTTGTTATCACACACAGCGAAGCTGAGCAATGGCACGCGTTAGTACAAATATGGCATACACTTTATCTCTGTGAAGAATGGCGCAACATCGCCAACATCGTCGGTGACATGCACTTGCATACAGTCTGTTAATGTTTCTATCGACATCGGTTCAATCAAAAGCATATAGGTAGACATATAGGCGCAGTGGGCGAGCTGGCTAAAGCGCATGAGGTGTCGTGATCGAGCCCACCTGTCACGGTGTAAAAACCTTGGAGTCAACTTTGTTTGCAGACTCTTTCAGTGTTGTCAGTGTTGTGAGAAAGCCGTGAAACTCAGTGCGCCTAGTGGCTGCAAGATTTGTATGATCCCTGGGGAGTTGAGATTGATAATACGATGTGCCGTTGAGATTGACATCCAGTGATCGAGGGAAAAAATACCAGCGTCTTGAGCATGTACTAGTCACGTGGATATGTGCGCTATATAAATATCATGTAATAATAGGTATGTGAAATGCACGTGTATGTATCGGCAACCATGAATTCCTGAAGACCAATTCCAGCAAGGATCTCCATGGATGTCATATTCATGTGACAACCCGTTTGGTTTTAGAATGTAATGTCCAATGTCAATGTATATTTGCAGAGTAGTAACGGATTGTATGAATCACTGCTTGGTGCACAAGTCACAGTTGATTGGCTGATTAACTGATGACCACGAGAACATTGGCGTTAACTACTTTGGAGAAACCCATAAGCATCGGTACATGGGTGTCCTCCCATTTGTGAGAACTCCCAGTTGTGAGACACATTAATTAATGGTTCAGTGCACACAGGTGGTGCTTCCCCATCCCTACGATGAAAGTGGGAACATCCCTGTTGCTGAAGAGTACCCGCAGGAGGCATAGTTCATTAATGAGCATTAAAGAGCATTTATTGTTTTCAATAAAGAACAAGTTAAATACTGAAATACTGAAAAAGATTATCATTATATTTACACAGAAGAAATAGTTCATTAAATATTTCATTATGATTTTTGATTCACGGTACATGTGTTTGAGAAAGCAAGCAATGTAATAGGGAAACTCTGGACAGCGAATTGCGGCGCCACAGACGATTTGTCCACCCACGCCCTCCCACTGCCTCGATAATGGAATTCCTCGTGTACAATCAGGCATTGACTCTATATTTAGCGTTATAATATATTGATATATCATGATCATAAACCTGAATCAGAAAACAATAAAAGTGTAGTTTGTGTCCTGAAGCAAACAAGCTAGTACAATCAACCGCCAGTGCCTCCTTAATGTGGGTATTATTGAAGTGTTAACGCTGCTATGGACCAAGCTTAACGGGATGTTTGTACTAATAGAACAGACCAAAGGAAATGTCCAAGATACAATCAGCCTTGGATTTTACAATGTTAGTGTATTGCTTGTTAAACAGTGCAGCTGGAGCAAAGCGACTTGTGCACGACAACTGTCAACAGCATGATAACTGTCAACAACACGATAACTGTCAACAGCACGACAACTGTCAACAGCATGATAAGAGTCCATTATTTTGTTCATGAAAGTGTCGGTTTGGGAAAAAACAGATGAAAAATGTTGACAGAAATATGATAAATATTTCACACACCGAGTAATTCATATTCCGGGTGGGATCGAGATGGTTGGGACTTTTGGATTTGATCGTAAAACTTATTTAAAATATATTTTTAATATTTGAAAAAATATTTAGCTTCAGACTGTTGGAAACGAAAGCTACAAAAAACAAAACAAAAACCCCTATTCTTTAAAGGTGTTCTTGGGTTTTTTTTAAAAAGGAGATATTTAGACAAACAGTTTTAATTAAACGCAGCGGAACATATTCTACAACATCCTATTTTACATGGTAACTAAACAAAGCATGTTTATGTGAAGTCCTCGGTTTGAAAGAATGATTTCGAAAAAGGAAACTTTTTCAACCTACATTCAGTGTTGAATATCGGTAGTGGTCTCTTGGGGTTTTACGTACGTCATCTGTGTGCAGTCATGCGCAGTGAGTGTTGCAAGGAGGCTGCGTGATACAGAACAGTTGTAGAAGAAGCTGCTTCATCACAAATACATGTTGTCTGCTTTAAATGATGGCGAAATGACAGTCAGTGATGACTCACCGCTTCATTAATCATGGGTGATATTTTAACTGATATTCATCAGTGGGGAACAATGGCAATGCGATTGTATAATTCAAGATGGTAGTTATTTTCCAAAGAATAATCAGGTGATTAGCATATAAGAGTCTCGCCGCTCTAGGCGTCCGTTAACGCCCGCGAAGCATTTCCGCGATTAAGCAGCACTTAACCACGCCCTCGTCACCTCCTGGATACTCAAAAATACCCAGACTGTTCTGTATCAGATTTTGTGCCTCTTAAATCACTGTTATCATCGTGTTGACCCTGTTTCCCCGGGTTGTGTGTGCAGGTTGGTGTTTAATCAGAATATTGTACTGTTAGCTGATACTACAAGATTTGTTTGTTCAAAATTTAAAGATTTTAGTGTCAGCGATAGCATAGAAATGCCATAGGAATTTCTTGCACCGTATAAGAGAGAAAAGCATAACTGAGATTGAGATTGAGACTGCTTTTAGGTTACCTATGGGAACAAAAGGAGAGTAAGGATAGGAATATCTAGTAATATTCTTATTCCAATTCTAGTTGAAATATGATCAATGCATTCAAAGTCACATAAATAAGGCATTTTCATTTTCTTTTTCAAGTAGGTGGGTGTGGCGTTTAGGAACCAAGCACGAACCAAATACATACTAAAGTAGGTTGCACGTATGGAATAATTTGGGGAATCGAACCCAGAGCAACGGCGGAACTACATTGATGTTTGTTTTCTTTTTATTAGATGGCAAGGGTGGCCCAGTTGGTTACTAGGGCGGCAAAGCCTTATTCACATTCACAAGAAGGCGGAGAAATTCGCTGTGTAGCGTTTTAGCGATGCCAAATCAGTCTGGGTTTGAATCCTAAATTGGTCATGGTTATGTTTATAGGTCGGTTAGCCTCATATCCTGAAGTTTCCCCCAAGTGGATTTTGTTATAACTTTTCCTCTAACATCAGGCTGATACGCCGTGATATAACTTGAAAAACACTCACTCACTCACACACTCACCACTCACTCACTCACTCTCACTCACCCACCAACCACCCACTACCCACTCACTCACCCACCCATACCCTCACTCACTCACTCACTCACCCATACCCCCACACTCACTCACTCACCCAAATCCACCAACCCACCCACCCACCCACTTACTCACTCACTCAACCACCCACTAACTCACTAACCCATACACCCATCACCCACTCACTCATACACCCACCCACAAGTCACTCCCGAAAAGGAACATCATTATGAAAAAGACACATACTTTCTTACACAAAATGGCAGATATGCATTCCCATTCATTGTCACGGTACATCTAAAAATCCTGAAACTTTTGTTTTTCAAGGACGAAACGCCCACTACCTCAGCCAATTTCCTGAGCATGAAATATAAAATTTAATAACCACTAAAAGATATTTAATTGTTTGATGTAGCCGATACACTACCAAGGCAACTCACTTTAATGAAAGTTGTAAAAAGTATTGATTAATCATTTGTACATGGCCATTATTTTTCAAAGCTATTGAGAAGCACATTAACACCTTTGCCAAAAACACAATAGAATTTCCTTTAAGTGTTAAGTGAAAATATTTTAAAAAGCTTAGTATTATGGAAAAAACACCCCATCCTCGAGATTAATAAAAGCCGGTGCCCTTGGAACTAATGTTAGTTTTCATTACCCCGCTGAGTGTGTTCGCCCGCAGATCGTATTTCACGGATCCTTTACTGCAGTAAAGACACAGCATCGCACAAAAGGGCCTGTTTTAATGGCGAGGGTTTTAATAGAATTTCGCAAGAAATTAGATTACGCATAACACACTGCAATCACATGTAAACTCCCGATCCTTTCAGTCGGGGCCCCTCTGCTTTCGTGGCTTGTCTCCGCGTTTCAATGCCCAAGTAATGTGATTTCCAGCTTAACACGTTATTTGAAACCGAGTTAAGATGGCGCCCGTATAAGTTTATATACCGCCTCGGGAGGGGTAAGTTTGGCGCATCAACTTCTCACCTAACTTTCACGGTGTAATCTCCTCTTTCCATTATAGTATAATCATCGCCACTGATAACAACACGCGAAAGGTACAGTGGTATCCCGGCTTATCTAAATCCGAGTTGGGAGCCGACCCCTAGGTTATTTGAGTTGATTGCTTGTCCCCACGATCACCCCCTTGGGTCACGTGACCCGCCGTTATTACATTCAGCATGCATCGGAAAAAGTCATCAGATCGCAACAGCACTGAAATGACTCGAATAAGATTACATAGATAAAGTGAAGTCCAGGGACGGTGTCATTGACGGTGAACGGAGCCGGCGGCAGATGCTCCATAGTCCCTTTGTAGTGAGTCTATGTTAAAGCCTTTATGACCCGCCTCGCGCCGATCACATTCGCCCGTTCAATGAGAAGTCAGGCTTATGTACCTGCCTTCGTTTCCATTCCCAAAAGGATTCGTGCGAACTACCAATCATAATGAACGATGCCTCTAGATAAAGCGAAGCATCGCTCTCAGACTTGAGGTAAACACTATTCGGTTGGATGGACTGGAGATACGGTTAACTTCATAAGCTATTTCCATCGTATTCATTTGGAGACCATATTTGCCCTGGTCTTGCAGTGTGCATTGCTGTGCCTTTTCGTGGATTAGGAAAGATATCTCGTGCTCTCAGTTTACAATGTGAAAATAGTGGAAGTTTTTTTCAAAGAAAATCACACGTTTGTGGAAATAAAACATCAGCGGTGTTTGCCAGCTATTACAGAATTTCTGCGGAATTATCCATTGTTGGTGATTATGATCTATGAGAATGAGAACAAACTTTAATCACATCAAATTGGTTTCTCCAAGCGAATACGCCTAAGGGGCAAACCACGTGAGGTGTATGATCCTGCACGGGTATTATAATATTTCCGGTGTAACGCTATTCAAATATTCGTCAATAGGCTGAACCCTCCACCCCTATCTCTGGGCTATGCATATCGATTCCACGAAAAATCTAGGTCAGCCGTTGAGATTCGGGTGGGACCCCTTGCAAAATTAGTTCCTTCGTTGCTATTGGTTACCTGACTACTGCGCGTTAAAACACGTCCCTTGAAGGTACGACAAGCACACACTTGCCTCACGCGTGTTTGGACGTGCAGGATACCGGGTCTCAACATGTCGTCACACGCTACCTGGATTACATTTCTCATTAGCTGCCTTGCGCTTGGTGTTTCGGCCTCTGAAACAGGTAAGTAACGCTACTTGTCGTCCTTGTTGCTAAGTGCTTTGTAATGTTAAAGTAAACTATTTCGTAAATAATGCATTATAATTGTTTCAAATACTGCATAAATATTAGGAAGTTTAGAACTTTTACAAAATAAAGTGACATTTAAAGTTTTAAAATACACAGGAAAGTATGTAATTAGTGGCTTATCATCAACATGCGGAGCAAACTGTTTGTTTCTAAAGTTTAAATAGCGAAGAGAGAATTTAGGTTGTCATAAAGAACTTTGGAATTATTGATAAACTGTTATTGATTGTGATGTTGACAGGCAGCTCACAGAGATCATAACACGTGCTTGTTGTTGTTTTTTATGCAACATTTGTACTATTTACACTATAAACATGTCATGTTAAGCCAACAAAATAAACATGTCATGTAAAGCCAACAATAAAAATTGTCATGCTAAGCCAACCAAATATTAATGTCATGGTCAGCAAACAAAATAAACATGTATGATAAGCTGACAAACATAAACAGCCTGCTAAATCAACGCAATGAAAATGTCCTGTTAAGTCAACAATATAAACAGGTCATGCTATGCCAACAGAATAAAATTGTCATGCTAAGCCAACAACACAGATAGCAGTGCACAAGCTCTGTCATACATGGTGACTCGTCCACAGTAAGCTGTTTATTGATGTACAAGGAGAGCGTTGGTTCATATTTACCATCGCAACGGTAGTATAAAACGATGTAATGACTACTTCCTTGATCTTGGGTGACCAAGAAAAGTTAACAGGCATTTAGAAGTCAGCATGGATTTCATTTTCTATATTCCGTACACACCCTAAATGCAGGAGTATGGATCCATATATCCCGTTACATTGTCAGTCGCGTCCATTAATTATGTATGTACAACAAACGCTGATCTCCTTCTTATAAGTAATGAGATGTATGGTGAGTGCTCGTATCAATGCCTCGTGAGGCACAGGTTGTCATATGTAGTAAAAAAGATATTTGTTATACTCATTTAAGGGGTTATTGATTTGACATAGCAATACAGATACTATGCTAGGAGTGAGGATAGATGCGTTCAGAAATGCATTATATGTTATACTAGATATTTATAAGTATTACAACTAGATGTATTATGCTGTTCAATAGTTTTTGCAGAGACATGCAAAAGTACAGTCTCGACGAGTTCGTAATCACCAGGCTGACATGCCATATAACATTCAATTTGTTAATCAGGACGGTCTAGAATTCGATGAAATCATCTCGATTAACAAAGTTCTGGATTAACGAACAATGGTCACGGTGTAATATTCCTTTTCATAAATATCGGTGTCACAGACAGATCTGTCCAGAATGCGGGTTTCAGATTAACGGAGTTTCAGTGTAGTCTACTGTCCTGTCTAAAACCACATACGCGGAGGGTGAAGGGGATGATGTATCAACAAGCTGACATAAATACATATTAACGCTAAACAGTTATGGGGCGTTAGTAATAATCATTAATAATAATGCACGGTGATGTATTCCCTATGACTACTACAGTATGAACATGCAAGTTGTACTGAGTCAATATACATGTATATACAATTATTGTAAACGTTTGAAAACCGGTAACTTAGTTATATCGTCCACGTAAATACATTCCTGAATCCAGGCTATAAAATAGAAAAGCCTCCTTTTTGCATAAAGATACCCAAAGACACAATACGTATAAATGTTACTGATACAGAAGTTACTATATATTTGTATATTGCATTTTAAAACACAGAATTCGCTTCGCGTGTATGTAAAACATAAAATTCTGGTCGCCCACGTGTGACCATTATGCAAATGGCCAATTTAAACACGTTACAAAGCGTTGAAAGTGGTCTATTGTTAACGTTAAAGCGGTCAGCCATGAGTAAATGATCATATGATAATATTGCTACTGTACTGTAGCTTCACCGTGCACATTTAATGCTCTTTTTGTGTCCTTGTGTTGTGACACAATACCACGGAACGGTTGATTCAGAGGGCTGGCATATTGCTCTATTAGCTTCCATTCACGATCATCCCCAGTGACAGCTGGTGACACTTAAAAACGATATTGTTTTATATGGATCAATATAAAATTAAACGTAATATTTCCTTGTCAATGATTATATACAACGTCGGCCTTTCATCAACCGGGTAATTAAATGAAGCATATAATGTTTATATCCTGCCACCCAATTACGGTTTCATGCGTGGAAACTGACACACGTCCAGGTAAAGAAACGAACAGTGAATACTGAAAAGAAGTGGACACGAATTTGACACAGCTCAGTTGACATAAATGGGCGGCCAGGTGCGTCTCTGATGGGACAGGATATGCCATGACTCATCGATGTTGTTCCGTTCATTGAAAAAAACATCATCCGCACATCTTCGTTTACTAGACATGTGTGTTAATTCATTTGTTTGACATGGTATACGCTGAGTCTGTGCATTAGAAGGCTTCCGGATCATGTATCGCTTCGTTGAACTGACGGATCTGTTGAGCAGTTGGAACTCGCTGTTGGGTGTATGCATGAAGAAGGAATTAACCTTAGGTTGTCCAGAGCTCCAGATAAGATTTAGCTCATGTGGGTACTGTACCCACTGTTTTTTGTTTGGAGTGGGTATTATGAATGTTGAGTGGGTATTTCAATTTCCGTTACCCACTGCTTTCAAATATGAGCGTATTTCAGTCATTTTACTCACCTAAGTATTATGTCATTGAGTAGGTTTACTAAGCAGGTATGTTCTGCCTTATGTCATACCTAATCAAAACCAACTTAAATATAATGGAAATCACTCATCCTATACTGACCGTACAACACTTGCCCTATACTAACAGTACAACTTGATAGCAATCGATGTCATTTTCATTACGCAAGCGATTTTTATATATTCCGTACGCATTTTTTAAAACCTTTTGCGTATCTAACATTTTAAATGCGTAATTGGTACGCAACAATTATTTTTCAATGCGTAAATGGGAATTTTCTATGCGTATTTTTACCCGGATACGCAGCTTATCTGGGCCTCTGGGTTGTTAATCACTCAAACGTTCACGTTAAAGCCTCGTTTTGTGAGTTGTAGGGACAGGGGTGCAGGGATGGTGTGGGGTGGTGATTGGGTTCATGAAGTTAGATGCTGCTTCATCTACAATCTCCGTGCCGAAAATACCAGGAAAATCAAAACGTTAAGTGCACAATATCAACGTTCTATTAAATAAAGGTCGCAGTTCTGTTTCTATTAATGTCAGTCCTGATCTTTGCAATTTTTATCGCATGAATCATCTTACGTGGAGGTCACTTGGCAAGGTTCCTGATTCATCCTGGAATTCACGTAAATGACAACCATTCAGAGGGCTCTAAAAACCGCACTGATTCGAGATTTCACCACCTACTTGCCATTCCCGTGGGCCTTTACAATTCACTACGGACACTCGTATGATGGCCTATCGCTCTCCTGTCTAAAACGTTTGTTGGCTGGACATGTTTACCCTTTTCGCGAACACCTGGTGTCATCACAGTTATTTCCCCTTAACACCATACGGATTTTTTTTCTGAAAATAGTCAAGGCTGAATATACTTTGGCACTGACCATCTATATTTTGAGTTTACGAAATGTTTTCATATAAAATCCGTGAAGTTTTTCAAATATTTACTAAGTAATTAAAGATGATAATTATTTACGATATTACTTTTCTGTCTCTATTTTTTCTATACATCTGTGTGCGTGTGCGTGTGCGGCGTTCATTCGTGTAGGTAAAGTCCATTAAGGACTTTGAAAGTGTTGTTTAGCTTGGTTTGGTAGCGAGATCAATGAGTTGTGTCAGCAGGATTCATCAACATCTCAACGGGAACACACAATTTTTATTGGCTATATTAGAGCGCATATTATATTATTCCAACCCGGATCTACCTGGCGACAAGGGCGTTCTCTTAATATTAGACCCTGGTTAAAATTGGTAATCTGCAACCCATGCTTGTCGTAAGAGGCGACTAACGGGATCGGGTGGTCAGGCTCGCTGACTTAGGTGACACATGTCATGTATACCCAGTTGCGTAGAACGATGCTCATGATGTTGATCACTGGAATGTCTGGTCCAGATTCGATTGTTTACAGACCGCCGTCATGTAGCTGGAATATTGCTGAGCGCGTCGTTATATGAAACAACAACAAACAAACAAATTTTAATACTCGGCTATCCCAAGTGCTTTTGGATGGTCGGGCATTAATGTCTCATTAATCCATAATTGTCAACTGTTAGGCCAAAATCAAAATTCGGTTTATATGTATAAATTAAACACCATAAACAATACTGCGCTGATGTTAAATGTTGACAAAAGCCTTTCAAATAACGAAATTGAAACATGCATGGCAGAAACTACAATTGTTCTGGATTATTGACAAAAGCCTTTCAAATAACAAAATTGAAACATACATGGCAGCAACTACAATTGTTCTGGATTATTGACAGCACTCTTTCAAATAACAAAATTGAAACATACATGGCAGAAACTACAATTGTTCTGGATTATTGACAAAAGCCTTTCAAATAAGGAAATTGAAACATACATGGCAGAAACTACAATTGTTCTGGATTATTGACAAAACCCTTTCAAATAAGGAAATTGAAACATACATGGCAGAAACTACAATTGTTCTGGATTATTGACAAAACCCTTTCAAATAACGAAATTGAAACATACATGGCAGAAAGTACAATTGTTCTGGATTATTGACAAAACCCTTTCAAATAAGAAAATTGAAACATACATGGCAGAAACTACAATTGTTCTGGATTATTGACAAAACCCTTTCAAATAAGGAAATTGAAACATACATGGCAGAAACTACAATTGTTCTGGATTATTGTTTGGGGTAGACAGCAAAAGAACACCACAAAATGTATATAATAAACTATACGATAACTAACGCATGGGGACCACGTATTTGACTTCGTGATAACCGTAGTTCGTTATAACCGTATTTGATAACAATTAACACCAGTTCGATATATCCATCGGTATATTATGAGCGTGTTCGTTATAAACAAAGTCAACTCTATCATATCCGTGATCACCTCTGTATTTCGTAAGATGACAATCAAATACTTGAGTAACCGTCTCCAAGCGCTCGTAAAAACTACAGCTGGATCAATGGTCGGTGTGTTTTGTAGTTCACACTATACAATCCAGTTGTGCAGTTCAACTAGGGTTGTCAAGGCTACAACAACTACGCTTTTAAAAGCTCAGAGGGTGCTTTGTTTGTTGAGGGTTAAGCCATTTTGACTGACATGCTATAAAACTCCAAACGCTATTCAAGTAAAGTGTTAATGTGTCATATGTCATGTCGAAGAAAAACCGTCAACGATGCACAGTTTTGAAACCTGAAAAAGCATCACGCCATGAATGACTTTCGCAACACTTACTTCATGACATCAAATCATGATTCATTTGATATGTCTGTGTGAGCTTCGTGACAGGTCTTAAAAATATGTCCGGTTGTATAAAGTCAGGAAAATATTGCGTGATCAATTCGTATGGGTGTTTAAACAGGGTTACCCTCGGATCATGTGATTACCAGATCTCGCGTGACAGGCGTTTTGTGATATGCATGTTTATGTGCACGATTGGGAGAGACGGGATTGTTAGAACTGAGATACTTTGAAGCATTGTCATATCGGGAAAGGAATATCCATGCCTCTATTCAGTTGGTCTGAAAGAGGAGTGCCATGCGTACACGAGATAACATGTTGTCAACATTTTTTGTAAAGATGATTTACGGATTTAATTTTTTTACATGTATCGGTTTTCCTGTTATCTATTTTCTTGAAATTTTAATAAACATGATAGAGCATCTGTCAACAATAGATGAAAATTGTCGTATTCTGTAGTGAAATGAATACTTATATTTATCTAGATCGAGAATTGGTCCAAATGAGAAGGGTCAACTGCTGAAGATAATACTATATTTCTCGATATTTGCTGCTAAGGTACTCTATCGAGAATTGGTCCAAACGAGGAGGGGCAACTACTTAAGATAATACTATCTTTTTCGATATTTGTTGCTAAGATATTCGAAGGATTTGATTTTTTTAGTTTTCAAGTAGTTTTCAATTTGCTTGTGACTTTCAAATAGGGACTTGTATAAGAAGCAGCAGTACCAATAACGTGAACCCATCCTACCCATCTTCATCGACTCGGAGCGGTGGGGTAGCCTAGTGGTTAAGGCGTTCGCTCATCACGCCGAAGACCCTGGTTCGATTCCCCGCAAGGGCACAATGTGTGAAGCCCATTTCTGGTGTTCCTCGCTCTGATATTGCTGGAATCTTGCTAAAACCGGCGTAAATGAATACTCGCTCACTCTTTATCCACCTATATCACCACCCCCGCGCCCCTGTCTCTACCAATAACTCAGAATGAGAAGCCTTAACAACAGTAGAAAGGATCCACTCTGATGCTGGACCTGATTTTACGTCGATACAAAGTTATTCCTGGAAACACGGGTTCTTCTGGTGTTGGAAAAATTATATAACGAGTAATCAGTAACCAGAATTTCGGTTTTCGTCTCAAGTATGACTGGATCAATGTGTCAGAAGTAGCCAGCTTGTCTGAGTGTTACCTTCTTGAATTGTCACCACTGACGCCATCTTGACATGGGGCGTCAAATAATGTGTGTGTCATATCGCCGCACATATATAAGCCTTGACATCTTCTGACACTCACAAGACAATCCGGCACTACCATCGAGGTGTTTATGCTGTACGAATGAATTCTGACATGTCGTTGTCCCCAGTTTCATCATTAAGTATATATGATTAGCTTGTTTAATCCCCACACAAATACCCGTATGAACCATAAACATGTTTTCTCGGACGTGTTCTGGTTTAAGCAGATGAGTTGACAGAAAGGCTTCTATACTATGGCAATCACGTCAGCTTTCCTCCATCGGGCAGTGATAATGTTGATCTATTGGTGTTCAAACCCCTCGAGTGAGTGATGATCCGGCGTTATGTGTGGGGATTTAAGAGAGTATGGAAAGCATTACCATAGATATGTTATTTATCCATGCATTATATCGGACTTGAAGTATAGCCTGTTTGGTATTTTGGTCACAGTTTATCTGATGTCTTCTCCATGAATGCTCGAGAGATTACTGCAGCAATACCTTAGCCTATTCACTCATTCATCAAGACGACCTTCATGCGGCTTTTAAATATGACCCGAGAGAATATGAAACTGATCAGCTACCTTGCTTTTAAGTACTTTTATCAGGTGACTGCCCCCCCACGTCTACCCCTTCCCCAAACGCCCACCAGTCACCGTCACGTGTACTTTCATAACTGACCCACACTTCCCTGTCCCCACACCATGTGCTCCCCTCACCCACTTTACCCAGGTTGAGTCATACCCGAGGCATGTCAAGGGTTTAAGCTATTGTCTGCTCTTGGGCTTTCCAGTTTGTTTCATGCCCGTGTTCTATTTCATTTCAACGGCTTTCTTTCCCTGTTCCCATTACCCAGAATGACTTGCTTGATGAGACATGCTGTTGTCACATGCTAACTGCCTTTAATGGAAAGGTTTTACAGTAAAAAAGTTCATGTCCAGAATAAAGCTTCAGTTTGTTGTTGAATGAGGACCCTGGAAAACATTTTCTCGTGCAAATGAGACTATTAATGATGGCCTGGCAGCTTATATTAAATGTTAATAACATCCTTCCAGGAAGCGAAGTCTGACAGACAGACGTGGCGGGGTGTTGATGAACTTGCTTGCCCGAAACGTCTGATGTTCTGATTGATAACAGATCTTAGAGACATTGATATGTTTACCGTTTAATCTTACAATGCCAGCTGGGAGCGGACTTTTACAACCCGGCTCATTAAGTATAGTTACCAAAATGATCCGAAATTATGTAACTATAAGAGAATCGTCTTGAATACATGCATGCAACTTGGTGATGGATGTGCCGTTTGAAGAAGACGTGCTGCACATGGAAATTAAAGCTAAATGTAAGATATAAAGAGGACAAAACATATTTATCTTTTTTCTGCCTTTATATAAATATTACATACTGACGTGCTTCGTATTCGACTTTGTGTTTGTATTGTCAAGGAAAGGTTCATTAAGGCCAGGGTAGCTGGGGTAGCCTAGTGGTTAAAGTGTTCGCTCGTCACGCCGAAGAGTCGGGTTCGATTCCCCACATGGGTAAAATGTATGAAGCCCATTTCTGATGTCCCCGCCGTGATGTTGCTGGAATATTGCTTAAAGCGGCGTACAACAGTATTCACTCACTCACTCATTAAGGCCAAAGTATGTTTCCCGATCAAGACATATGTCTTTTCTTTTTACAAATACATGTAGTTTGTACACGTTTCACGTTTGAAGCAATTGCTGTGTATATTTAAGATTGTGTTGTTCCGGAGAGTCTGGTTGATAGCACGATCTTAGGACCTAAGGGTTACCCTGTGAAGGGTACACATTTGAAGAAAAATGTTTGAGTCCAATGGCAAACCGTGATGGTAAGGTTCTTCTGGTTTATAAAATCATATATGTGAATTATTGCTAAACAGGTGCTGGTGACGGCAATGTAGTTTGTTGTACTTATCGGACATCTACATTCCCATATACTTTTGTTCCATCAGGTCAGTTCGATGTGAAGACGTGTAGCAACTATGTGGGTCACGATGATGATTCGGAAGAAGACTCCTGTGCTCAAGCTGATGTGGTCCCCGATCTCGTGTGTACAACGGGGACGGTGATAGTTCTAAAGGCTCTCCTCTTGGTTGTGAAGAAGAATAGTGAGTGCACGAAGAGGATAGCAAGTGAGAGGGTTTGTTGTAAGCGTAATAACGGTGATGTCCTGTACGACGGGGACTGCCTCCAGAGTGTTTGGAACGATGAGGATGGGGAACACTACAGAACCTTTATGAAGGATGCGATACGGGAGTGTATGGAGAGACAGGAGTGTACACTATCTCATAGTATGTTCCAGGCTCTACAGAGGAGGTTGTACAATAACACACATGCAAGCTCCTTTAGGATCGTGTA